TGGGTGGGCCATGTATCTACTACTTGGGTACCTGGACCATTAGGGCTTAATCCTATCATACTCGTCGTCCCTGAACCTTAAACCCCAAAACGCCCTGAACCCTAAACCCCTAACCCCTAACCCATAAACCCCTAACCCCTCAACCCAAACCCCTAAACCCTAAACCCCTAAACCCCTAAACCCCTAAACCCCTAAACCCCTGAACCCTAAACCCCTAGACCCTAACTCGTCGTCTGTTTTGGGACTCAAGATTCGCTTTGGCACCCCTGACAGAATCCCAGGGACTCCAATGTCCCTTAATTAAGGAATGTACCTTAAACTATAATAGGAACCCTAATAAGATTTGAGGTATATTCCTTAATTAAGGGACATTGGCGTCTCTGGGTCCAAGCCCCTCAGGCCAGGGGGGCTGTGATGATCGGTCAGACACTGAAGCACCGCTAAGGAAACCAAGTATCTTGAGGGTTTAGGGTTTAGGGGTTTAAGGGCCTAGGGTTTAGGGTTTAGGGGTTTAGGGGTATTACCTGCTACTCAGGGAAGTAGTGTCAAAAGACAAGGGGCAAAACTCAGCCTGTGACCCCAAACCCTACAAAATAGCAGGCTTTGACCCCTTAGCTATAGAGGAAAAAACCGCAAAACGGTAGGTTTTTTGGATCCGCAGGAGCGGTCGGTTTTAAGCTGAGGGGTCAACGATGAGACTTTCGGGTTTGTTTCTACAGGAACGCCTAAACGTAACAGCCAAAACCCGAAGCTCTATAAACATCCTCAAAGTCCTGTGTGAATTGCAATTTAGAGGAATAAATCCGGAGCAGTTAGATTAGACTAGAAGCAACACGATACATTGGCATGGCTCCGTACAACCCTAAAAGCTTTAAAGCCTTAATGACCCCCTGTAAAACACATTACAAAGCCTGGAAGCATCCTAGCCAAACCTAAACTAGGCCCGTCAGGGCCCTCACCGACCGATCTTTTAGGGTTCTTTAACGGGATCTATAGGGAACCTTAAAGGGATCTATAGGGTTCTTTAAAGGGAACTTGACAAGCTGCCTATTTTTACCCTAAAGCCTACACCCTCTATGGTTTCCATTCTAGTTCCTGTTCGGTTTGGCCAGGTTCATAGTTTAGGATCCTGTAGGGTAGCCCAGACAAGGGATGGCAACGGAGACCATGGGAAGACTCCAAACCCTAAACCCATCAGGCCCTAAATCCTAAAACCCAAGACTCACTATACTAAAGCCCTGAACCCTAAAACCCGACACCCTTAATCCCCAGGGCCCATTCCTAACTTCAAGGCATCAACGCACAAAGCTGCTCCGAAGCCTGGTTGCAGTATAGTATTTGGATTGGAAGGCCTCAAAACACATGCACCCTAAGCCTCCACACGAAAACCCTGAACTCTGAAACCCTGAACCATAACACCCCAAAAAATGAGTTCAACAAGGATTCAGGGTACACCCTAAACCCTAAACCATGAACCCCCAGAACCCTCTGCCTGCTCCCCACCTTCGCTCTTCCTCTTCTCTTTGATCCTGATGGCAGCTGAAGACCCTACACCCTACCTCTACCTACATACCTTCTTTTAAGGAATTATTTATAGAAGCCATGATAAGGAACATTAAAAATTAAAAAGGCAGGTCTTTTCGGCTACAGGAAAACCCTAAACCGTTCCATAGTGAACACTAGAGCCAGTGAAGCCTTACAGTTGGCAATAACTCGTGAAATTACTCAGCGTAGCCAAGACACCTTTAGCAAGGTAGACGTGCTCGTTTTGTAAGGGTCACGCGTTTTGTTGAGAAATGTATTGGTTCCTTTATGTTGCTCTATAGGGAAGTATGATGCTGCATATCGCACAGTTCTGGGCCTTTATGCTTCAGGTTAGGGGATATCAGTGCTACTTTCTGGCTTCTAAGGTGAGGGTGCTTGGGTTCAAGGGTTTATGAAAAAAATACTGCAAGCTGTGGGCCTACAACCTAAGCACAGGTCCGGGTCAAGGGATAGTCTTTTGCTGAGGTTTGACATGTAAGGCTTACCTAGAAGAAAACCCACCCCTTTTTGCAAGGAAATCATGATAAGGAACCTCTTCATCCCAGGCCCTCCTGCCGCGCAACCCGCAGCGGCAGTCTGCACTCACTCGCAAGGGTTTGCCGTTACCTTCAAACAACTCATATTTCAAATCTTTTGGGCTCAAAGACCCTATTATATAAGGCTCTTGGGCTAGTTTGATGCTAATGGTTAGGGTTTAGGGAACCCTAAACCCCTAAACCCTAAACCCTAAACCCTTAGGGTTTAGGGCTTAGGACTTTTTTTACTCGTTTGCAGACCGGGCATCGGAACGTCCGGCCAGGTACTTGGACAAAGAAGTGTCCGAACGATCTCACAGAGCCTGGCGAAGCAAAGTGGGCCTTTAGGGCCATAAGGATTTTGGGTATTAAGGCAAGGTTTTCCGTTCCAGTATCTAGGGTTTAGGCTTTCAATCCCCTGTATTCTCACGTGTCAGGGGTTTATACACACATGCAACACTCACACGATACTTGTAATAATACTGGTAGGTTCCCTGAAGCAGGATCCTATGCCGGATCCGTGTGAGACTACAACCGAAAGACAAAACGAAGAATAATTAGTGCTTCGGGTTTGCAGGGTTGAGGGATTTAGGCCTTGGGGGTTTAGGGCTCGGGACTCTTTTGCTTTGTTCAGCAGGGGGGAGGCTTAATACTCAAAGCAAAGTCATGGGTATGCTATGCTGTCCTGAATATATGCTTGTATTATATTCTAGGACTCCTAGGACTTTGAGGGAATGTTGCTAACTCAAGCCCCGCGGTCAGGCCTAGCGACCCACCACTGCAAGCTTTGATAAGATTTCGAGTTCAGGGTGGCAGAGCTTAAGTTATTACGGTTAGGGCTTAGGGCTTAGGCTTTAGGCAGGGTTCAGATAGGTTCAAGGTACCATAAACCCCAAACTAAACCCCTAAACCCTAAACCATCAACCCCAAACTAAACCCCTAAACCCTAAACCAATAAACCCCTAAACCCCCTCTAAAACCTAGGCTGCTGTCTACTGCGACGGTTCAACTCGAATCAGGTCGACTTCAGGACAGCCCTCCAGGGACCGCTTCCTGTTGCCGCAGCCGGCGCTGTCTCAAATTATCTTCCTCCTCGTCGGCGTACTCCTCCTCGAGCCACTCTGCAGTCCTAGGCCGGGGCAGGGTTGACTCTTCTCTCTCTGTCACTCTCGCCCTCATGCCTTCGCTCTCCTAGGATGCCTACCTTCGTTTGCTGTTTCTGAGTCCGGAGCTGCGGCTTCGGCAGCAGACTGAAGTGGTCCGCATCGTCTTCGCGATGGGTCTGCAGCACGCGGCCGGATTCCATGTAGCGGGGTGCGCCCCCTGCCCGCCAGACCTGTCAAAGCAGCTGTTCTTTCTATTTAGGGCTTCCTCGCACATGCATGCGTGCTTTCAGCTCGCCTGCAGGTGGTACTCGACGGGCGCATCTTTCTTGCGGCGCCAGAGGTTGAGGATGATGTCTTCACGCACGCCTCAGCTCGGCTCTTATACGCTGACTCACCCCACTTCCCGCCACTCCAACATACACAGCGGGCCAAGCCACCGGAGGTGAGCACCAGGCATTTGGCGCGCATGATTCGTCCTGGTCGCTGCTGCTGCATGCCGTCCTGCCGCGAGCTGTCTAGGACCCCTCCGCCTGAAATGCGTACCGCTCCCTGGCCAGCCTGGAGGAAGCTGAACAGGTCCGTGATATGGCCGACTTAGCAAGACAATCCCCGGTGATGCAAGGCTTGAGCTCAGAGCACACTGCAGCGTTCATGTTCCTCTTCCATGTCCAGGCAGTCACACTTGCCTGCCTACACGTCACTGGCCCTGCAGCTTGCGCTTCCACCTTTGGTTTTTCTTGGGCACACCTGCTATGGAAGCGTTGACCTATGGTACCCGGGTCACGGCACATTGGCACGCCCCCTCTACTGTACAGGAGGTGCCGCGCACGCACTGCAGCGGTCACCTCTCCTCCGCCTTCGCGGCCTGCCAGGTGAAGTATGCTCCAGAACGCGCCCCTCTTTCTCTCCCTCACATCCCTCTTGCCTGGAAGACATCCTCTTCCCAGAAGGCTGCGTCGTCGGAGTAGTACCACCAAGGCTGGTCAGCACGCGCTGCCAGAGTTAGCCTGCACGGGCACAAAACGTTGCATCGTACTCGCTCTCTCGCTCTCTCCTTCAGTCTTCCTTGCCCCACCGGCCGGTCCAGCCGTTCTTCCTGAGGAGCTCGCGCTTCGCCTCCGTTCCCTCCACGGCCTCAGACAAGACAGGCACAACACTAAGCGCTGTTTCGCGGGTTCCTGTGTAGCTCAGGTCCGGACGCTCAGCTCGATCAGGATGTGCTTCAGCGGGTCCAGCACCCGTTTCGGCCTGCAGGCTCACCGGTGCTGAGCTTACTCCAAGACACGTGTGCCGTCGACCCCACGTCTGAGGCGACGGCCGAAACCAGTGGAGCTTCTTGGCACAGGGCCGACCTAGATCCGAGACCACTGCTACTGATTCTTCGCTCATTCCGCTAGCTGCCTGTCTGAGGTCCGCACACGCTAGAGCGTTCTGCTCATTGTCGCCTTCGTAGGAAGGGTCCACAGTCATCCAGTTCTTGGGCTCCTTGCATACCTGCGTCCAAGCGTTTTCCAGACGAGGCGTTCTTCCGACATCCAGAGGCCCCGACACAGCAATTGAAGACGCCCTCGTAGTTCTGGAACTCCAGCTGCACGGCCATGCTGCTCTGGATCCAGTCTGCCAAGCTACTTGAAAGCACGCGTCTTCGAGCCAAGCCACCGAATTCGACCAAGAGCTTTTGCAAGCGCAATGCTGTCAGGTCCTGCCGTTGCCTACTTATGCCAGCGCTGGGTCCCCTTGCTTTGTTTTTGAAGGCTAGGGTTCTAAAGTACAGGCTGGACGGCTCCTTTGGCACGTCACCGCGTGCATGCTACCACGACTCTACCTCCTGCCTCTACTCCCCCCCTTCAGACTCTGACTCGAAGACCATGAGCTCGTCTCTCGCGTCTTCCAGCCTGCTGTGCTGGCAGACTTGCACAGCCACGGCTGTGAAGTGCTTCCGGCTGCTGAGTTCGAGACAGCTCCTCCAGGCTGCGATGCTGCCAGGTCCTAGCAGCAAGGCTTCACTTCTGCTCCTGGCTACTCCACAGCTGCTGGGGCCCCGCGCTGCAGCATGTGCTTCGCGTACTTGTAGATGCGGCTGCCCGGGGGGAACTTCACCATGATCTGACAGGCAAGGCTTTCGAAAGCACCGACTACCGAGCAATGCCGCCAAGCAGCCTCGATGGCGGTCATGCGCCGCGTCTTCTTTGTGCCCTTCTCCTCGCGGATCTTCTTGAACTGCTTGTAATTCGCCTGGCAGCGGACAGCGCTTAGGACTGCTGGACGTGCTCTTCCGACTCTAGGGCCCTCGCGTAGTGGATCCTGACCTCGCGCTGGTCCTGCGCCAGCACCTTGGGCGGGACCTGGCCAAGGACTGGTGCGTGAAACTATAGGCTTTCTAGCTGCGCTGGCTCCTGCACGCCTGGAAAGGCATCCCTGGCTGTGAGCGGAAGCGGTGGCGAGTGTTCGTTGGCTTGAGCAACTTCGACGACAAGGCAGACAAGCAGACACAGGCTGGGAGCACGCTTGGGTGGCTTGGGCGCGGGCAGGCAGCAGGTGCGCAGGCAAGCGAGCGCCGCAAGGGGCAGCGGCAGCGGCAGCAGTGCGCAAACTGAGGTCCCCACCGGGTCGGACGTGTAACCCAACATAATTAATAAGGAAATTTGGCAATTCCCTTGACTTCCTTCCGGCATCGAATTAATGGGGTTGCTGCAAAGAAACACATTCTTGATGTGCCATGCATTAAAAAAGGGGTCCGACCCCTTTTCTGAGTTCCTGCTCTGCAAAAGCATTTGGGTTCATCTTGCTCGTCCCGAGCTGGGCCAGAGCTGCGCTGGGGCCCTATTCGTATCCCAGTGCTGCATTGTGGAATCAATTCTTCGGGACCCTTCCCCCAATCTAAGCTCACCTGGGCAAGGCGTACATGGGCTGAGCAGATCAAGGTACGCCTGCTCTAGTGCATGCGTGTGTGTGTGTGTGTGCGTGTGCGTGTGTGTTTACGAAAACGTATATACATGCTTCTCGTGTGCTGTCAGAAACGTAGCATTCCTCCGTCCGTCACACGTAGCTGCGCGTCTCAAGTGAAGCAAGCAATTTGGACACAATGGAAGCTTTTCTCGTGAACAATCCCGAGCTGGCGAAGAAGATGTCGTCGCGAGGATCGCCTGCTCGGATAGCTGTGACATGTTGTGCAGTTGCTTGCCTGTCGTGTTAACCTTGCTAGGACTTCTGGGCCTCGGAGATCTATTTTGGGCTGATGTTCTCAAGGTTGTGTACAGCGAGGCTCAGCGAGGATCGTTTCAGCTAGATGATGTCTCAAGTGTACCCCACCAGAATCCTGCAACCAGACTCCCAATTGGCCTACAGGCCGACGCAGTCATTCCGGAGCTATCCAACAAAGTGCTGACAGAGCTCATGAGCAACTACGACCATCACGGGGTCGTACGTCACTTGGTCAAGAGGTGCAAGGATGGAGGGAACTACGAGGGAAGTGCCCTGTGGCAGCATATCATGGGACTCTGATGTGCTCTTACATGTGCATGTCTCGACTCACCTGGTCCTCCATGCGCGTGACACAAGGCCAGCTCGGAGTCCGGGAGTGCTGCGGTGTGAAAACCTGCATTGAACGAAGATCGACAAGCACTGCCAGACAAAAAGCTGGAACTTTCGATCTAATGAATCAGAGTTTTCAGCTTCTCTCTACAAGTGCTTTGCTTGGGTAGTGCTGTGCGCAGGTGTGTGACTGGTCACGAGCATGGCCTGCGCCTCGTTGTGCACTGAAAAGTTACTTCCAAGCCGCCCGGTCTAGACTAGTTGTACTGGCATGTTGTGCAAGGGACCTTGGTGCTTGTGTCTTGAAAAAGGCTTGCAGTCAGTCTTTCGAGTCTCGGGTGCGAGGGGCTCCAACTCTGAAAAGCCATGGCGTTCCCATTGTGTTGCCTGGATGGCCTAGCAGATACTTGGGAGGAAGACAACTGTATCAGGAGGCGAGCTCGTGAGAGCAAGGTTCTGATTAGGTGGCCAGCAGCCACTTCAGTTGGTGTCCCCACCCTGAACCTTGTCTGATTTGAGAATGTATCACTCACCTAGAAACTCATAGCTGCTCTGTTTCTCTGTCAGCTGAGGAAAGCTGTTGGCATGAACTCCCGAGTGCTGATCCATGTTGCAAACAAGTGGATCGAGGCTTTGGACTTTCAGGGGGATGTGAAAACCCCTCCCCTTCCATTGATCCAACGCCAAGCCACCAGTCTGCATGAGTCTACTGCGTAGTGTGTGTGTGTGTTGTTTGATTACTTTTCTTGAGATCCCGGCCCGTGTTAACTGCTGCTTAAGTATTAAGGTTCGAGCGTTCTGGGAGCTCTGCGGGCCTGTTGAAGGGGAAGGTCGAGTGGGTATGCTAGGCCGCATACAGATGCATGCAGAAGCTTGGGGCATCCGCAAGCTTATCTCTTACACGTTCAGAAGAATGCGCCAACCGGCACGGTTTCAAGACACGTGGTTGCAACAGCTTGGGTTTCCCTTGTTCTTTAAGGCGCATCAGTTGCGTGGCTCCGAAGCATCCTAGGATCTTGCTGCTTGGGAGGTCGCAGTAGTTTTTCTGAGAGCCTGGTTCCCAGAACGCCTGCAACCGGACGAGGACGACCCCTGTGACGCTTCTTTGGTTTATCGTTTTTGCAACAGCACGTATAATTTCAATTGTCTCCTGCAGGACCCCGACGTTGCTGCCGATGATGACGATGATGCGCTGTCCCTGGGTGGTGACGATGGTGATGATGCTGTCGACGGGGCTGCTGTGCCCGACATGCCTATGGCCCCTATGGCTCCCATGGCTGATGAGGATGTTCCTGATGGTGATGGTGGCACCGATTATGGGGGTTATGAGCTATTCTTTGAGAACTCCTCAGATGAGGAGAATGAGGGGGCTCCTGTGAAGGTGGAACAAGAGGCTGAGGAACATCATGATCTTGATGTAGTGGCCGCAGTCAGCCCTGCAAGCCCGGGTGATGTTACGCCACCAAGCCCCACGACGGCTGCTGCTTCGGTCAGGCCGGCTTGTCCAGTGGACCCCAGCGCAGTTGAGACTTTGATCATGTCACCCGGGCCCAGCCCCGAGACCCCTCGCCCAGCTGTAGCAGTGGAGTCAGATGCGCAGCCGCGCGATTCTGATTGGCCTGGAGCTCTCAGCACCCCAGCTTCCGTAGTAGCCTCTCCGCCCCCACAGACTGGCCTAGATTTCCTGAATGCCGAAATCATCAGGCTCGAGACGCTCGGTTGCACTTTTCATATCGGTTGCCACATCGTGTGTGTGTGTGTGTGCGTGTGTGTACATCTCCACTCATAGTTAAGGAAAGCTTTGGCTGAGAAGAAGGCAGGAACCTCCGAGGTATCAAAGGTGAGTTCAGAGGCCCAGGAGCCCCTGGAAATCACCGATGATGAGGACGACTTCTCGGCTCTAGCGTAAGGCTGAAACATCACAAGGAACAATCACTTCACTCAAAATCTCTCGTGTCTCTGTCTCTCGTGGGTTTTGAAGGACGTTGCAGCCGAGGAGCCTGACATGAGCAACAGTGAAGGGAGCCAGGCTGCAGACCTGCCACAGGACGAGCCCGAACATGCATCCGAAGGGGAGGCGGAGCTCGAGCAAGCTAGCCCTGCCGAACCTACCGAGGAATTCTTGACCAGAGAGGAGCAAGACGAGCAGTTCCCAACTTGCAAGAAAGGCAATCGCCGGAAGAAGCAGAAGCAGCAGAACAAGAAGACACGCAAACCCAAAGCCAAAGCTGTTCCGAAAGCCAAGGCCGCGGCGAAGGCCACGGCCAAGGCCAAGGCCGCAGCCAAGGCCACAGCCAAAGCCACAGCCAAGGCCAAAGCCAAGGGGAAAACGGGAAAGAAGCCCAAGGCAGCAGCCGCAGCAGAACCCAGCCAAGACGCCCAAGGTGCAGACGATGGTCCCACTGTCACCCCACCAAGCAAGCGCAGCAGACACTCAACAGCCTCCGCAGCAACCCCGACAAACAAGATCGACAAGCCGAAGCGGAAATCCAGGGCGAGCATCAACTCCAGCAATGTCCACATCGACAATCACTGGACCCACGTGTATGTGGTCCCCTACTGGACCAAGAATGGTGTAGGGCTAAAGCTTCGAGGCTGTGGAACCCAGGCCTGTATACTGCCAGTTATTGTCTCGAACCTGTGTGTCTGCCCCATGCTACGATAGAAATCTAGCAGTGGTGCCGTCGCCCCGCAGGTCTTCTCGCTCTGCATGCAGTCGGGTGCGTTCGAGGTGAAGCTCCAGGCCGTCTACAAAGTGGAGCCCCGACTCTATGATATACGATTTCTGTTTCAGTTTCTCGTTCACTCATTTACCAATACCCGTTCTACCCGTTCTCTGAGCATGCTTCGCTCTTCGCTTTTGACTATTGCAGGACACCGATTAGGCGTGGCTTTTCTCTATCCCCCTTTCACGCACAGAGACGCACAGACACACACCCACGCGCACACACACACACACACATCCACACACACACACACACACCCACCCACCCACCCACCCACCCACCCACCCACCCACCCACCCACCCACCCACCCACCCGCACACACACACACACACCCACGGACGCACGCACACACACACACACCCACACACCCACACACCCACACACACACACAGACAGACGTCACACGCACATACCCACTCCTCTCTCTCTCTCTCTCTCTCTCTCTCTCTCTCCCTCTCTCTCTTTCTCGTTCGGTGCCTCCTCCGACTCGAGTCACGGTTCAACTCAGGCAGCAGCGATCGATTCTTGCGTCGGGGACTACGAGTCTTCCAAGGTGCAGGCGATCATGGCGAAAGCGAAACATGAGATGCAGGAGCTGTGAGGACTGACATCAGGCCAAGAGCCTTTTATCTTCCCTCTTGTCTTTATGCTGCACAGCTTGTGTCACAAGCCTCAAGCTGTTGGTTATGGGGGCTCAACGAACCTGTGGTTTGTGCTGCAGGGTTTGTGTCTGGGCAGGCTTGCCGAAGCGAACAAATCACAATAGCAGATAGCTCGTTAGCCGAAATTGGAGTATAATAGATATGTTGAGTTTGTTCGCAAGCAGCCGTTGCTATCTGATCCTTGGCTCTTTCAGTCGCCAGGGCCCATTTTGTAATCTGACGAAGCTGTGCTGTCGCTCTGCAAGAAACATAAAGTGAAGCGTGTCAGGTCTGCTTGGTAATCACTTCAGGTAGATCGAACCCCCGAACCCAAACCCCCGTCGCCATCCCTCAAACCTCAGACCCAACCTCGACCCGGAATCCCCTCTGCCGAGGCTCTTCGGCCCGGCCTCTCTTGGTTCGCCCGGCATGGTCTGGTGCAAGATGAGAGTGTCGCAGTCCTGTTTTGTTGACAGTGCAGCAGTACAGTTATGTCTGGTTGCAAGCCAACGTGGGTGGCTTGTTGCAGGCTTTTGGGATCTGCGAGTCTTAGCATAGTGCTATAGCTATGGTGAATCGGGGCGATGAGTTCGAAACCATGCTACGCAAACTCTTCGCCATGCGAGCGCCAAAGGCACTAAGGCTGCAATTGAAGTTAAGTTCTGTGCACAGAACTCGACCTAAGCCTATATATGCGCAAAGCTAAGATCTTCATCACAGTGGTGCTGCTGCTGTCGTGGATGGAGCCTGACCTACTCTCCAACAAGTTCCAAGTGCTGGACTTCTTTGCAGGGAAGGGTCGCATAGCTAGGGGGGCCAGGTATGTCGGGATGCCGGCAGCTGCCGTTGATGTTGAGTACGCAGACAACGCACGAGTAATGGACATCAACAGCGACCCGGGCTATGCGCTACTGTCCTGCATTTGGTGTGTGCAGTTGCTGCAAGACACCCTTCCATATGTGTGTGCCCACCTGTATTTCTGCAGACCTCATGTTTTGCTCAAAGCCACTAAGACTCAGCATCCTTCTGGTGTTGCAGGGGGAGTACGGCAAACTGTTTGCATCGTTTGGTGTGTGCTGCTCGTCATGGGTTCAGACAAGCATCGGTGGATCTGGCAACCGACGATCCTGGGTAACACCTATGGGTCACCCGGACAATGAGCGGATTCAGAGCGCTAACAGAATGGTCAGCAGGCATGAAACCCAACCACAAGCCATGAGCCCTATCGACAGTGATCATAAGCCCTGCTCGACCATTACAGTTTTATGCTGCCTTGCTTATAGAGTAGACCCCGGTATCTATCTAAATCTATATATATATACACTGTATTATATATTATATTATATATTATATTATATATTATATTATATATTATCT